GAGAGAGAGAGAGAGAGAGAGAGAGAGAGAGAGAGAGAGAGAGAGAGAGAGAGAGAAGCATCGAGACACATCATCATTCAAAGATAGAGGAGAAATGGGAAGGTGAGGGGGTGGGAGAGAGTCTAGATAGGAGATGACGCAATCCAAAAGAAGGAAGTTCAGAGAGAAAGATCCGCAACAACAAAGGCGCATTCGTCGTTAATTCCAATATAGCCCCGGGCCAATAACTCACTCAACTCCAATCATCGATCCTCATACCCACACCGACGATCCAGGCCGCCGCGTGCTAACTCCCACCACTGCGATCGTCACCCCGCTGTCATAGACTCGACACGGTTCGCCCAGATCCCACAGTCCGTCGTGGCGATCCAGCGCGCAACCGGCCAGCCTATCGTCAGCCCGAGAGGACTTTCCGACTCGCATCAAACACTCTGCCTAGCCACTGTTTCTCGGAAGCTGGCTTGAGAGTCGATTCAAAATTGAAATCACCATATCCGCGAGCGAAAGAGCGACGCGGGAAAAGAAAAATCCTATGCCTATTCGTATTCGCACAAAATTCCGAAAGTTTTCCCCGACGCGACCAAGAACATTCACACACACGAAAAGGACATGTCGATGTTCCGCTTATCCCGGAATTCCCAACTGCCGAGCCCAATTCCCAGTGCGTTCGCTAAGGCGCACGTAATTTCCTATGTATTTCCCGAATTGCAGAAAGAAAAAGCAGAACCCGGGAGTCGAAAAAAAGCTTCCTAAAGATGGGGGCCCAAAATCAAGAAAACGAAACGGGGTTTTTATGGGGTTGGTATGATACAAGCAAAAAGGGGTACGAAAGATAGCACGGGTTTGGGAAGTGGTTCGTCACATTTCTACAGTTGAGGGCCTGGGCCCTTTTCAGTTGGGCACACCCAGGATTATCCAGGCTCCGAATGTTAGCTGTGTTTGCATTGGCCCACGGGGTAGATGTGATGACAATGCTGCATCCTCACTGGCCCGTGGCCACTTCGTGATGTGTCGGCCTCACGCTGCGTGTGCCCAGGGCGCAACCACCTGCGTCCTGGGCTCAACTGCCTGACACAGCTGCTTCTTCTGGAAGAGCCCAGGGTGAGGCCCAGGTTGCACTTCAACCAACTGGTGTGCGGCAACTGTATGAGACCCACATTGGAAAATGCTGAGATAAGGGCCTCTCGTGAATATTCAGGCCCGCCTACACTTAGGGGGGGCACGAGGCTTGCTGGGGG